CCATTAAAAATTGTTGAAGACACAACTGCCAAGAAGTCATTTTTGATATGTGATTATTGTAGAGATGGAGATTCATATAGGTCACCATTTTCTAATAAATATTTCCCAGCATTCCCAGAAGGAGGACTTCCAAGTGATGAATTAAGACAATTAGAAATTAGTTTAAATGATGCATTTGATATGTATAGAGAAATGTATTATGAAGGAGGAGTTCATAGTGTATACTGTTGGGATATTAATGACGGATTTGCTGTTTGTGTTTTAATGAAGAAAACAGCTGATCAAAGTAAGAAAGGAAATCCAATGAAAGGAACATGGGATTCAATTAATGTCATTGAAGTTATTCCAAAAGGAACATCAAAAGCAGAATATAGACTTACATCAACAGTAATTCTTTATATGGAAACTGACTGTGAAGCAACAGGTAAAGTTGCATTTGCAGGATCTCTTACTAGACAAAACGAAAAGGTATTATCTACTACTCAGAAAGATTCTCATATTATTAACATCGGTACATTTGTTGAAGAAACAGAAAGCAGAATGAGACAAATTCTTGATGCTATTTATTTCAGCAAGAGTAAAGAAATTACTAATAATTGCAGATGCCAAATTGGAGTTTCAGAACAAAATAAGAGAACTTTGATGACTAAACAAATTAATACTCAACTTAGAGGAAGACACGATGATGATTAAGAAGTAATTAATCTCTTTTTCACTCATTTCACTTTTCATTTATTTAATCTTATTTAAATCTTAATATTTATTTTAAGTTCAACTTCAAAAATATTGAACAATTTATTAGGAAAATTAAGAATTACGAGAAAATAATAATTATTCAGAAATGAATAAAATATTGAAGATTCACTACTATTGATTTATGTTGAATTGAGAAATGAGAGTATCTTTACATCACAGAAAAGTCTATTTAAACTATTCAAAAAAAGAAAAAGACTTAGTACAAATTTTAATCAAGTTGTTATGTAAAAATTTTAATCAAGCTAAATTTCATTTTTGTAGATTAAAGCTATTGTTAATACTAAATTTGTAATAAACGTATTGTTCTTATAAAAACAGACTAGAAAAAAAAAATGGGAAATACACACAGCTCACCAACAAATTCCGTCCTTCAAATTAAATATCAAAGTATTGAAGAAATTGAGAATGAACTAAACCAAAAAGATATTAAGTTTGAATAATTAATAGAAATTAAAATAAATAATAACAAATAACTTAGGGATGTAACTGTGTTTATTGGAATCGACTATACATCAAGTAATGTTGATTCTGGAAAAAAAACTTATGGAGGAAAAAATCTTCATTTGATAAGTGAAGAATTAAATCCATATCAAGAAGTAATCTCAATCATCTCAAAATATCTTAAAAAATATACTAAAGAAATTTATTTATATTCATTTGGTGATTCTATCTCACGAGGAAATTCAACATGTAATATGAACCAGAAAGGTGAGGCATTTCAGAGCTATGAAGAAGTTCTGGAGACATATAAAATTACAACTCCATTAGTTACATTATCTGGACCAACTAATATCTCTCCATTAATTGAAAAGGCAATTGAAAAAAAAAGTCAAACACTAAACAAAACTGTTGTCATTTTGTTTGTTTTGTCTCTAATTATAAGAAGAAGTTAAAAATCACCAATAGATTATGTGATGGTCAAGTAACTGATAATAAGACTACAATTAAAACTATTAAAAAGGCGTCTGGAAGTGGAATTGAAGTTATTTGTATTGGAATTGGAGATGGACCATTTGAGACATTTAGAAATGAAATTACTGAAAACAGTCAAAACTTCCATTTTATTGAATATTCCACTCTAAGCGAAAGGTTCAAAGAAGAAAAAGAAGAAAAAATGGGAATCGCTACATTACAGTATTTAGTCAATTTATAAAACTAATTGACTAAATTTTTTTGTTCATTTAAGACAATTATTAATATTTCATATTTTAAAGAAGAATAAGAAAGGAAAATACTAACAAAAATCAAGAAAATAAAGAGAAGAGTAGTGTTAAGTTACTTGTTTTATTGTTAGCATTACTTATGAATTTTAGTAAAATACCTGAAATAGTAAAAGAAAACCAATAATTCAACTTTAAAGGGTTAAAGGAAGTTAAAAAAGAAAATAAGATAAATAACACTTCACACTTTTGTATAATGAATAACTCATTAAGTGGTGGTAGTACTAATAACACTGAAAATAACAGTTTTGAAGAAAGTAATGAAAAGAAAGGACAAATTGAGATGGAAGTATTTGATGTAGATGAAGGGTATGTAGAAGAAGAAATTGAACCATTACATAAGAAACATCCTAATTGTTGTCAAATTGCTTTTATGCAAAGAGCACCAAAATATATTAGAAAAGGAAGAAAAGGAAGTTTAAATGTTAAAGAAATTGGACAATTACCACATACACTTGATATTGAAATGACTCATAAAAAAATTACTAAATGTTGGGAAAAAGAAATAGAAAAACATCCTAAAAGTCCATCATTATTAAGAACATTATTTAGAATGGAATGGGGTCATTTCTTGATTTGTTTTATTGCAATTATGATTTCACAACTTTCAACATTAGTTATTCCTGCTATTATTCAATTTATGGTAGAATGGGTTGCAGAAGATGAACCAGAAACATGGAAAGGAGTAGTGTATTTACTTGTTATTGCATTTATGCAAATATTAACATCATTTTGTTTTCAATTATCAATTAAATGGATTTTTGTCTTATCATTAAGACTTAGAAATGGATTAATTTCTATGATTTATGAAAAATCATTAAAATTAAATTCAGCATCAATAGAAGAAACTGGGAAATTGGTTAATTTAATGTCAAATGATGCAATGCTTTTTGTTGAACAATTACCATTAGTTATTACTGGGTCATGTGCACCAGTATTATTTTTAATAGTATGTATAATTCTTCTTTGTATTATTACATATTGGGCTTTTATTCCAATTGGAGTCTGTTTAGTATTTGTGTCTGTTAATACGATATCAGGTAAAATGATTGGATTTTTCTTCCGTAAAACACAAAGTGCAACTGATAAACGATTAAACTTTTTAGGAGAGATTTTAAGAAGTATTAAATTTATTAAATATAATGCATGGGAAGAACCACTTCATAAAAGATTAAGGAAGTTAAGAACAAAAGAATTGTGGTGTATGGGAGGTACGATGTCAGCACGATCAACCTTAGTTACATTAATGTTAGAATTATCTCCATTCATGGCATTTGTATTATATCTTGTTTATATCCAAATTGATTATCACTTAGAAGTTGGTAAAGTTTTTACTTGTATTGCATATTTCAATGCTATTAGAAGACCATTTATGAACTTTGGATATTTTGTTTCATGTTTAACAACATTTAAAGTTGCTATTGGAAGATTGCAAGAGTTTTTCTTGACACCAGAACTTCAACCACAAGACAGAACATCAGCACCAAATTCAGAATATGCAATTAATATGAAAAATGTTAATTATAATTTCCCTAATGGAGAAACAGCATTTAGTTGTGATGAATTAAAAATTAAGAAAGGAGAATTAGTATGTGTTTTAGGTAGTGTTGGAAGTGGAAAATCATCATTTTTATTATCAATATTAGGAGAATTAGAACAAAGTAAAGGAGAAACAGTTATCAGTGGAAATATTACATATGCATCACAAACTCCATGGTTAATGAATACTACAGTAAGAGAGAATATATGTTTCTTAGAGAAATTTAATAGAGAAAAGTATAATAATGCATGTACATGTGCATGTTTAAATAGAGATTTACAAATATTAAGAGGAGGTGATATGTATGAAGTTGCAGAAAGAGGAGCTAATCTATCAGGTGGACAAAGACAACGTATTTCTATTGCAAGAGCATTATATAATGCAAAGGATATTGTTGTTTTTGATGATCCATTATCAGCAGTTGATTTCCAAGTTGGGTCATTTATTTTTGAACATGCAATGGAAGGATTATTAGGAAATAAAACACGAATCATTGTTACTAATCAAACATATTTTATTGATAAAGCAGATAGAATTATTGTTATTGAAGATAAGAAAATTGCATTTAATGGAAGTATTGAAGAATTAAGAAATTCCAATTTAGAAGCATCTCAATTTGTTAAAACTGTAAGTTCAAAAAAGAAAGATAATAATAAAAAACAAGATACTGAAACAGTTCCACAAGATGTTGTTGCTACTGATGTTGTTGAAGAAAAAAGGTCAGTAGGAGGAGTTGCATGGAGTACATATTGGCATTATTTTAGAGCAGGAGGATTTATTGGATTAATACTTTGTTTAATACCATTTGTAGTTAGATGTGCATCAAGAGTATGTTATAATTTATTTATTACATTTTGGACAAATAAAATAGATGAAGAACATCCAGAAGGAGATACATATTATTTCTATGCAAGTTCTATTTCACTTGGAGTACAAATTATTTCTACATTAATATCAATGATTGGAATAACAATATATGGATTATTATGTGCAAATGGATTACATAAAATGATGATAAGAAATTTATTTGGTACATTATTATCATTCTTTGATATTACACCATTAGGAAGATTATTAAATTACTTTTCAAGAGATTTAAGATTTGTTGATTTTAGATTACCACAACAATATGAACAATTTTTTGGACAATGTTGTGATATTATAGCAATTTTTGTTGTTATTTGTACATGTTCATATTATTTGATTATTGTTGTTGTACTTGTTTTAATTGCATTCTTTTTATTCCATAAATATTTTGTAAGAGCATCTATTGAAATGCAAAGATTAGAAGGAGTTACAAGATCACCAATATTTATTCATTTTGATCAAACATTATTAGGATTAGCAACAGTTAGAACATACGGTGGACAAGAAACATTCCTAGATGCTATTATTAAGAAGATGAAAAATAATACATTATCATATTATACTCTTCAAATGGCTAAATCATGGTATTCACAACGATTAGATTGGTTAGGTGTTGGACTTGCTATTATTACTGTTATGGTTATTGTTATTTTGAAAGTTAAAGGAGGAATTGAATCAGGAGTAGCAGGTGTTGCATTAATGAATATTACAACGCTTGGAGGATTTATTACAGATTTCTCACAAAATATATTAGAAGTAGATATTGTTATGCAATCAGTAGAAAGAGTATTAGTGTTAAAAGATATTCCTGTTGAAGAAACAAAAGAGAAGAAAAGAAAGTATCAAGAAATACCAGAGGATTGGCCAAAAGAAGGAAAGATTGAATTAAAGGGATATCAATTTAGATATCGTGAAGGATTACCATTAGTTTTAAAAGGAGTAGATGCTGTTATCAATGATAAAGAAAAAATAGGTATTGTTGGAAGAACAGGAAGTGGAAAATCAACAATGATGGCAGGATTGTTTAGAATTGAAGAACCTGCAGGTGGGTCAATTCTTGTTGATGGAATTGATACTACAACAATTCCTATGCGTACATTAAGATCAAGAATGTGTATTTTACCACAAGAAGCAACTATGTTTAGTGGAACAATTAGAGAAAATCTTGATCCTACATTCCAAAAGAGTGATGAAGAAATGAAACATGTATTAGAATTGGTTAATGTAAATAAAGAATTGGATTATATAGTTACAGAAAATGGAGAAAATTTCTCACTTGGAGAACGTCAAATGATTTGCATGGCAAGAGCATTATTAAAGGGAGCTAAAATATTAATTATGGATGAAGCAACTGCATCAATTGATATTCAAACAGATATTATGATTCAAGAAATGGTTAGAAAGAATTTCAAAGAATGTACAACATTAACTATTGCACATAGATTACATTCAATCATGGATTCTAATCGAGTTATGTATTTGATGATGGTCATTTAATGGAAATGGATACCCCAATTAATTTGATTGAACAAGAAACAACAATCTTCAATAATTTAGTTCAACAATCAGGATGTGCTGAAGAACTTAAACGATTAGCAAAAGGAGAAGCATCTATTGCTGAAACATTAAAAGCTGAAGATGAAAAAAAGAAAAAACAAGAAAATGAATCATCAGACTCAACTGAAAAGCCAACAGAGTTGATTGACTTAAATACACCATCTGCAAGTCCAATGCCACTTGATGGAACAGTAACCAATAAAGATAAATCCCCATTACTCAATTTAAATACACCAACAGTAAGTCCATTACCACAACATGTAAACGATAAGAGTGAATCGGTAAGTGAAGGTAGTAACAATTCTTCATCTAAATAAATTGATTGGTTTTGTTTTAATTAATGGTTTATGATAAAAATAAATGCAATTTCTAAAGGATATTCATTCTTTTGTTTTTTTGTATCATGTTCTTATTAATTACTTACTTTGTTTTATTGTTGACTGAAGAAAATGAAACAAATACATACTGACTCTAATAAAACATTTCCAATTAATGATAAAGTAAAACAAAAGAATAATAAGATAGAGATGGAATTTTTGCTTGTTTCTAATTTGGGAGAAAAATAATTACTTAATTAACATTCTCCAATACAAAGATTGGAAATTGGAGGGAATGATACAGCCATGAGTAATTTTAATACATTTGTCTCAGTTTGTGTATTTATTAATCAATAAGCAACCATTGCAAACAAGAAGAAAATATTACAATTAACAAAATGGAAGTTGAATAGAATGAGAAAAATTAATTAAAAATGTCATTTGGAGTAGCTGGGAATTGATAAACATCATCTGTGATTCTTAGGTAAGAATTAATATCCTCTTTTAATCCCTTTAACTCAATGTCTTTGATGTAGTAAATTCCTTGTTCTTTATCTTCAATTTGATATACGTCATCATCAATGTTATATTCAGTGATATTATAGTCAACATAGAGACTTATATATTCAATCTGTTTTTGGTATGTAATTAT